TCCCTGCCTCTGCCATTGGTGGCCTCCCTATGCAGATGACAGGCTGGAGTGCAATGGTTTAGCTGGCCTGGGCCACCCTCTCTTTCTTTGCTGGGGGTGGGGCCAACTGTGCAAGGGGCTGGCTGACTATCTGATCGCCCTTAACCACTGGCCTGCCTACCTGATCACCCCTAACCACTCTACCTGCCTGCCTGATTGCCCCTGACTGCTTGCTTGGGGATGGGGCCAGTCCTGAAAAGTAGTGGTCTGGTCTCTGGTCGTTCTGGTTGTCATGCCTCTGGCCTTTTATTATATAGAACTTTTGTTGTTGTTGTGGGTCCTTGTTTATTATGCTTTTAAAAAATAGTTTATTAATTTTGAGTGAGTGAGAGAGAGAGAGAGAGAGAGAGAGAGAGAGAGAGAAGAGAGAAACATCAATGTGAAAGAGCAATATTAATCAATTGCCTCCTGCATGCCCCGTACTTGGGATTGAGCCCACAACCCAGGCATGTGTCCCAACTGGGAATACAACCAGCAACCTTTTGGTGCATGAGATGATGCCCAAGAAACCAAGCTGCATGGCCAGGGCCATTATTTATTATACTTTTGACAGCAAGGTGAATAAACACTTTTTAATCACAAGTTAACCCCCTCATGAGGGTTCACAGAATGTTTATATGTTACAAAATCTGCATCAGTTAGAAAAAAGTAAGCATGAAGTCTAGACATACTTTCAGTATAGAATACTGGGGCACAAAGGTTTATTTGGTTATACTCTTTTCTCAGGGCATGCTTGCCAACACCTTAGCAGAAAAATACCTTTTCTCATTGAGCAAAAGCATCAGCTTTGTGAGACGGTGCAGGCTGGGCTAAGGACCCCACCTCCTTGAGTGCATGAGTTTTCATGCACTGGGCCTGTAGTCATTATATAAAGATAAAACAAAGTTAATGTGAACTTCAAAGGCATCTTAAATGGAGGGAAATGTCAAGAGAAATTGACAGCTAAAAGAATGAATATAGGAAATGGCAGTTCCTCCCTCTGCTGGGAACTGGTGGCAGGGCTGGGGACTTGGTGGTTGTAGGATAATTGTATGGACTCAAATTGCATGTGATCTTGATTTCCATGTGGTAGGGGCATCTTTTTATTTCCTCTTGTCTAGTAGTTCTCAACTGTGTCTGTTCAGTGGAACCAATTGAGAAGTTTTTTTTTGTTGTTTTTTTTTTTAAAGACTGGTTCTTGTGTCTCATGGCCAGAGATTCAGATATAATTTTAGCCCATAGTGAAGTTGCTGGGATCTGGGATGCAGTATGAGAGCACAATTCCAATTCAGAACCCCCCTCCAAAAATGTCATGGCAGAAGGCTATTTTTGCAATCCACATTCTTATCTCTAGTAAGTAAACCCAATGAGCACGTGAATTTACTTACTCACAGGTGGGCATATCATTTTCAAGTAAAGAAGAAAAACAAACAAAACTTCTAAGTGCAACTTTCATTTAAAAAAAAAAAAAGAGTTAAGTGGTTTGAGAAAAATTTTTCAGAATTTGAGAGAACCACAAAAGTCACCTGTTACCAAGGCCCAACTCCCTATAACAGCCATGACAACATTTCCTTGACCATTTCCAGCCCATTATCTCATATGACCTTTTCCACAATTGAAAAGTTTGAATTGTGAGAGAATTCTTTCAAATCATGTGTTTAAATCTGGCTCTCTAAAACTTCTGCTGTTTATCTGCCCAATAACCCAACACAAAATGAGTCTGTTCCCTTTCTTACTCAGCATTCCTTTAGACATGGAATGACACCACTCCTTCCTTTTTCTGTTTTGGGGTCAAGCTTTCTCACTGTCCTCACTTATTTCCTTTATAAATGATTTCCAAGTGCCTGGTCATTCTGGTCATTTCCCTTTGCTTCAATTTATCAATGCCTCTCTCAAATGTAAGTTCCAGGGATAATACACTCAACAGCAAACGTCTTGACAACTTCACTGTACACCACCACTGATACTCCCTTTGTTGCAGGTCTGTGCCCAACTAAGATAGTATTCGTGTCTTGGTAGCTCTATCTGAGTTGACTCCCATTTAGAAGATATGGATTTTAGTATTGTCCTGAATCCCCTGCCTGATATTACATGAGGCTATCCAATGACTAGGGGAAAATTATGCTGCTCAATGTGAGACCTCACAGGCTTCTAATGTTTTCAGGAGAGCTACCAATGAAGGCAAGAATTCTCTCTTCCTAGATGTTTTTCCAGATGGGATGAAGGGCTTACTTTATAAACTGCATTTTAGGTTTTGACTTGATTTAATGGCTTGTTATCAGAAAGCTCTCCTACAGGAGTTGAGAAAGAGCTTTCCAAGAGCAAATAGGAGCAGCTAAGAGCAGCTTCTGAAAATCTCCTATTTCTTTCCAGGTCCAGTCCAGAAGCTAACTCTCAAGTCTCCCTTCTTTGGGTGCTCATTATTCTGATTATCTTTTTTCTTTTCCTTCTAAACAGTATCCACACTTTATCACAGGGTGAAATGGGACTCTGCAAACACAAGAACTGTAGCTCCAAATGGCCCAATGTATTTTTTTTTTTTACATCACAACATTGTTTATTATGTGAATTTTTTACAATACAAACAAAAAAAATACAGAAATGCAATATATGAATACAGCTAAACGCAGAATGGTGACTTTTTTTCTTTTCAAGAGGCCATGATTTCCATTTCTAGTAAAATAAAGAGGCTGCTCATGGGTAGAAAGAAGTTGGTCGTTAGCTCCACAATTTTGCCTAGAAATGATCTATAAATGCATTTCCCCTTGCTACTTACCATAAAATGTAAAAAGGGAATTAAAGGAAAGTTTCCTTGTTGGTTCCTACCATATGAAAGATGCTATATTCTATTTTAGCAGGGCCAATATATGGAAAATACCTAAATTAAATGTTGTTACAAAAATGAAGAAGTAATGAGACTCTGGCTAAAGAGGGCACTAAATGAGAATAATATATATTTAAAGAATCCAAAACAAATAAACAAACAAACAAAAAAAGGCTGTTGTAAAAAAGCTCTAGGTGCATTGTAAGCATATAGGTTTTTTTTTCCATGTGTATTTTTAAACAATGGAAGTGTCAAAAATAGGGTCAACTGTGTTAGACTAAATTACATTATTGTATATGTTGCATTGGATGGAACCTTTGTATTATAATTATTATAGAGAAGCATAGTTTGCATCATATTATGGCAATTTATCCTCAGTGAAAACATTTCAGAGTCCTTTTATTTTGGAATATCCTGTAAACAGTCAAACCACCAGAACATGATTGTACAATAGTAAAATGTTTTCTTGCATTAAATTGAAGACATCCATTTAAAAAAAGAAAATGTAGGAAAGGTACTTAGAGCTGTTAGTTTCTAAGTACACAACAATACCCTAGACAATTCAAGGCATCTTAATCTCCATCAAGAACAAAAAATAATAATAATTTTTGTCATGCTGTTAAATCCATCATTAAGGATAAAACTGGTGCAAATTGGTCAAACGGATCCAACAAACACTGATGTCCAAGCTGGCATATTGGCAACTAAAACGTAACTGGTGGTCAATAGAGGGTTTAAAAGATCTTCCCTTTCTTCTTGTTCTTTTCCAAGGTTCTTGAAGAGTTCTGTTGTTCTAAAATACGTTGCTGGGCTTCCCAGTTGGCTTTGTCATCTTCAAACTGATGGCGTTTTTCCTCTAATTCTTTGTGCTGTGCTTCCAAATTCTTTTTCATTTGCTCATGGCGCCTTTGGAGCTCAGCTTCAGAGTCCTTCAGTTTCTGAACTTTTTCTTTGACCTTCATCTCACACACCTGTTCCATCTCCATCTCCATCTTCTTCATCTTAGCTACATGCTCCCTTCTTTCTTCTTCCATTTGTGCCAGAGGGCTCTTAGTAAGCTGCCCTTTATACTTGTTATTATCAACTCCATTATAAGTCACAGCTGCCAATTTTCTGCTCCGGTAGTTCTCATAGTGTACATTATTAGTGACATCTTTCAAGTCCTGCATTTGTGTTCTTATCAACATATTTCTTAGAATTGTGAAATCACAATGTTCACCATTTTCAACTTCAGCAACACCCCAAGGATACTGCCTTCCTCTGACCCTTTTGCCATTAACTTCAATGATAGTATTACTACCTACCACAGCAAGAGGTAAACGGTCCTTTATCTTTTTAACAAGCTTATTTTCTTCTTCATCATCTGTCTCTGGAAATTCATATATTTTAATTTTATGTTCTTGGATTTCTTTCATTATCTGTTTTTTAAACTGTTGGCACTCCTCTGGTGTGAGTGTGTCTGCTTTGGCAATAAGTGGGATGATGTTCACTTTCTCATGCAAACGCTTCATAAACTCAATATCCAATGGTTTAAGTCCATGTCCTGAAGGAGCAATGAAGTATAAACAACACTGCACCCTGCTATCAGGCATCTGATGTCTGTTCACTCGAGATTCTGCATTTAGGTAGTCCTCAAATTTACTATCAATGTAGTCGATAATAGGCTGCCAACAATTACTATTATCCACTGCATCTCCAAATCCTGGGGTGTCAACTATTGTGAGCAGCAACTGAACCCCACCTTCTTTGATTAAAACTTTAGATTGTTCCACCTGTACAGTCTTTTTTATTCTATGGGAAGGACCTGGATACTCTGGAGAATACAGATCTGTGAGGAATAATGAGTTGATTAACGTTGACTTTCCCAATCCAGATTCACCCACAACCATAAGTGTGAATTCAAACCCTCTCTTCACTGATTTCCTGTATACTTGATTTGGTAGATTGGCAAATCCCACATAGCCTTCAAGGTTCTTCTGTTGAGCTACCATGGTGCTGCTGTTGACGCTCCTCTCCTCAGCAGCAGCGGATCTCGCACTGACCGACATCCCCTCCCCCTCCGCGACCAGCCCGGGAGCGGAGCAGCCCGCGATTCTCCAAGGCCGCCTACGCCAGTTCCGCGGCGCAGCCGCCGGCGTCGCTGCCCCACTTGCGCAGCCTCCAGATGGCCCAATGTATTCTACCAAGACCTCGGGAATTCCCAGCTCCTCTTGTTCCAGCAAGTACTGACTTTCTAACCTGCAGGGCATCCAGTAAGGTTTGTCTTTTTCAGTAGTCATCCCAAAGTATGAGATGATCTAATCTATCTAGGTCCCTTCTGATTTATTTTAACTTGCTACTGGCAAGCAGGATGGAAAAACAATATGAAACTAAGGCCGAAACACTCCTGATTCAGGAATGTTCTGTGGTTATCACAGTTTATGATCCAAGGCATTTGTAACCCTAATCACTTCTGCATGACTTTAGCATGCTGCTGTCAATCCAAAGAGAATGCAATCATGAAGCATATGTTCAGTGAATGAAGTGGCTGGTATTATAGGCCTTCCCCGAGGTCGCCCACGTACACCCAGATGAACAGGATATTCAGCATCTATCTCTGACCAGTTCTCTGCTTTGCCCACATAAGGGCATACAGAATGTATCCATTTCAATAGGAAAAGAGGCAGAACCCCTGGGTACAGGCTAGGGAGCCTGGACATGTGATGTGGAAGGATGAGGAGGTTCTTTTCTGGTTGCTCTTATTCCCTTAATAGAATGAGCTTAAAAAAAAAAAAAAGAAAGAAAGAAAGTGAAGTGAAGATGTATGGTAAGGTTTGATTGTGTTCTGAAATTAACTAGTGAGACTGGTTGAGGTGAGATAAATTAGATTGATCCACCAAAATCCACCAAAAAATTACTCATTATCTCAGAATTATCAGCTCTCTGTACATCATTTTCCAGATTATATGTAGTCCTTTTGAGTCAACTTTAAAGTGTAATTTACCAGGCATCATCACTTAAATATGAAAAAACGTTTTTGGAAGTCGCTTTAAAGGACAGAGACCAGGAATAACTAAAAGGGAAAGACCCAAGCTCCATTTCATTTTTCTGAGTGGAGATGGTGGAAAATTGCCCATAATAGAATATGGAAATGCCTTTTGCTGGAATGTGCCCTGAGCCCATTTTGTCACATTATAAGATGTAAAGCTGAGTGTTCAATCCACATACTCATCTTTAGTTCTGCAGCTCTCCTCTGCTGCCATGGGTCTCTGTGACTCATCTACAAAACATGACTGAAAGAATGTTGAACTCATCCAAGAAAAATAGGACTCCTTGGGAAGAACGTAGCTTACAGGAGAGCACTTGCCAATGAGAAAATACCAGAATTTTTCATGCATCTCAGGATTTTTTTTAGGCCATGCAGGAGTAGAGGAATGTTACATGCCAATCTCCAGCCCAGGAATGACATGATGCTTCCAGTGAACTTACTTGTCCAGGAGATAGGGGCCCAGCCACATTTAGCCAAGGCCAGGAATGCCACGAGTGAGCTTTGGATAATCTTTTAAAATTTCCCATCCTCCCTTCTAACTAAAAAATAGGTCAACGTTCAGTCTCAAGGCTAGAAAGTAATTGCTTCAATGATGCCCCTTTCCAATGATGCTCAGCTTGGGGATTTTACTGTCAGTATTCCCTGGAAGTCACCCTGCTTGGAGGAAATTAAGAAAATAAAAGCAATTCACACCACCTCACAGTAAGACTGGAGATTTCTCATGTAAACCATTTTGAGAAAAATCTTGGAAACACTAAAAGGTGAAGGGGCAAGACTGTTTCTGTTCAACCAGAATTCTTCAAGCACTAAATTAGATACATATTACTTTAGTCAAGATTTTTACTTTTGTTGTTTCAGATGGTTGATCACCTGAGAGCATCCCTTGATAAGAGATTAGATATTTGTTAATGTGGGAATTAACCTAGAAAAGCACAGTCTAGATTTTGGAATTATGAAACAAGGCTGTCTCTGTAAAGGGACCCTCATCTTCTTCAACTCTCATCCTAAGCAGTGTCCTTATCTGGAGATTCCCCCTGAGTTTCTTATAAGGGCTCAGTAGGAGTGATGTTGATTTTACATCATTAACAGCCACAAAAGCTCTTGAAGGAAGTTCCCTTTTGATTTTACACGAGAGGTTTGACAAGTAGCAAATGACAGCATAGAAGGGGAAGGGGCACACATCTGAGGCTTCCCAGAAGATCTTGAGAAAGGGAAGGCATTCTGAGTAAGGAAGTTTTAGTTCAAAATGAGCTATAAGTTGGCTATTTTATTGAGGCATAGGCCAAGGCATGGGGCTTAAAAATCCTGTTGAGTGCTCCAGGCCCCTTTTCTGGATTTCAGAGAATCATGATTTGTTTTGCTCTGCTTTGTTCTAGGAAGGAGAGAGGAAACAGGACATCTAATCAAGAAATAGTAGAATAGTTCATCTGTTAGAGACTTAGATTTGCTGTGGATGTTCTGAAGGTAGAACTGAAACCAATGAGTAGGAATCAAGAAGAGGTAGATTTCATCCTCACAATTAGTGGAATTTTGCAATAATTAAAATTGCTTGATAAAAGAGGTTGTTTCATTGGGGAATGGATCGCTCTAGCCCACAGCCTTCCCATCAATTCGCATTCAAGCAGAGCTGGGCTGGATATGCAGGGAGCTTTCCACATTGACTAAGACACTGGGGCTGGTTTAGAACAGATTCTGAAACTAGGGAAGCACTTTAGCAATACAGTCCTACTGGATGAGAATCTAGGATAGAAGGGGAGCCTTGTATTGTGCACTTTTAACAAGCTGCCCAAATGATCGGATGGCAGCTCTCTAGGCACTAGGACTCAACCTGGTGTAGGTGAACCAGTAGTCTAAAACTTTATTCTCTGTTCTCTTGGTAAGGTTGTTTTCTGTTTGTTTGTTTGTTTTTTATCATCTCTTGCTCTCTCCTACAAAGCCTTTTTATCCCTATGTGATTAGAGCCAATGACAGAAAACCATATTTTACCATTCTGAAATGTAATTTTGGTTGGCAACCAGTATTTTAGATGACATTAGAAGGTCTCTGCATATGTTAAGATTTTATTATTTAAGATTAATTCATTAACTCTTACATTGTGCTACTGAGAGAAAGCGCAGACTTGGACTAAATGCACTTGTATTGGCTGAGGAGCAGTTTCCTGAACTGGACAGTGTGGTCTGGGAACTAGACTGTGGGATGTCTCTTCCTCACAATGAGGCAAACAGGATATGCTTGATGAAGGGTTTGGGAAGGACCCCTGTGAACTAGGGGAATGTTTGGAAGAAGAAAAAAAAAACCACCTCTGGAAGTCCTTTCAATTCCTATGATTCTATTTTTAAACCTAGCTAAGAACTGCAATATTTAGAGTAAAGCCTGATTCTCACTTCCTTGATGGGGCTACAGAAATAGATGCTTCCTCCCCCCAATCTGGGGAATAAACAAAAAGTCTGGGAGAACAGCCAAGTTTACTCTCAGAGGTCCCCTTTTTTTTTTTTGTTTTTTTTTGTTGTTGTTTTATTCTGCAGTAATAAACCATTCCTTGTCATTGCTTTGACTAATAACCTTAGTGTGACATCATGGAAGGCCTTTCCTATAATGAAGTCACTTTCATGGGGCAGGGGTGAGTGAGCTATTTGTGTAGAAAGCCAGGAAGAACTGAGCTCCCTATTTAAATAAACCTATCTTCTCCAGCCCAACTCCTCACTAGCCCCTATTTTTTCAGCTCTGCAGTAGAAAACCCTCATCTAAAGAAGTGTTTGAAGAAAATATTCCCCCCCCCCCCACTTTCCTGCTTGGATATGATAGATTAAAAAAGAAAATAATACCAACTAAAAACAAACAACCAAAAATCTCACAGGTTGGCTCTCTTCTATAACTTATTTCTCTTTAATTATAAACTTCTGACCAGAAAATAAGTCAGTTCATTAAATGTCTAAGGGTTCAAATGATCTCACGAATTACCTCTTTGATTTAAAATTCAGAGGACTCCACTAGGAATTTCCAAATAGGCTATGCATAAATGTTAGCACATCCACATATCGTTTTTTGCATAAAGGAAGTGATGATAAGCAAGAAATTCATCAATGAGTTAGAAAAAGAAAGTCAGTAGTAAGTAGAATGTTATGTTCTAAGGCTATGGCTTCACCTCAGTGGGCAGCCTATAGAAGCAAGGCTTTATGTTATCAGGATAATTTCTATATAAGTAATCCGTTAAAACATCACCTCTGAAAACCCTGTGATGCTTTTGGTAAGGAAGGAGCATGAGAAGGTGTGTGCATAAAATTCCTCCTTTCTTTGATGGTTCCCAGGAGCTCTTTCTCCTTAACTTCTCACCTGTGAGGTGGAACTTCAGCTGTTTATTCATCAGCCCTGAGAAGCGGGCTGGGACAGCAGCAGTAGAATTTTAAAGTGATGAAAGGCTTTATTTGCTAGGGGTATGGCAAGAACTCCCCATCTGGAGAAACTGGGGGTGGTGGGAGCTCCCTCTTTTGAAACAGGCTTCTTGAAAGGAGTGAAGGGGCTGCTGGGTCAGCCTGGCAAGCAGAAATTGCTTGGGAAATGTTATTGCTCTGAAGTCGCCAGAGAGAAGGGGATTAGGAAATAAGTTTTTATTTTTAAAAATAACCACCGTCAGTGAAATTTGAGGGATAGGAAGAGACGATCAAAGAATATTTTAGAGAGTTTGTATATGATGTCATGCATGGAAGTTTTTTGCTACTGCCTTCCAGACCTCAGTGAAGCTCCAGGAGATTTTCAAGGTTTTAGGAACTAGATGGTAATTCTTTGTAAGTGATGCCTGTAGTTACTTGGTTTAAGGCCAGAGCCAGCGGGTCTGCTTTTATACTTATTAAATAATAATTCAAAGCAAGTTTATTTTTTTATGTAAGATTAAGGACAGCAAAAACACATTTGACATACCTGTTCTCAATGCTGGGTCATAGTTACAAGGGAGTAAAATCTGAGCCAGATGTCCTGGAGAATTCTCTCTAATAGGGTATTTTAAACTAGCAGCTTATAAAATGATACATCTTTTACTGTGACTTTTAATTTTTAAAAGTATTGTTATATATATATTTTTTTTTTCTTAAAATAACAATACTTGAGGAGGGGCATGAAGAACAGCATAGACAATGCCAAAAAATGAATAAAATGATTAAGTATAAGATATAAGGGCAAAAGGGAGGAGAAACAAAGGTGTGCCTCAGGAAACAGGTGGGAAAAGTATTAGCCATTAATTGGTCCATTTTTATTTGGGTTGAAAGTCTCAGAGCCTCATCTGGGTCTCCATGGCAGAACATGGCAATCCCCATCTTGGATGAAGGTAACTATGATACAGTTGGATAGATAGACGCCCATTTGAGAATCAACAGCAACAAGTCTGTGATATGAAACAATCATATTAGAATTAACAGAGTGATTTTAAATTTACAGTATCAAGGAAAAAACTGACAATCTGTGGCCTCTGTTAGGTAGACAGTTTGGTTAGTCTTCATACCAAAGTAATAAAAACAACAAGAGGAGTGCTCTGTGAGCCTTCTCAGTGGCAGCAGCTTCTCCAAGCCAGTGGTAAGCTGGGGTGACAAGTAGGAGCATGAAGACTCAGCCCAGCTGCCCAGCACCCCTCTCTGGGCTGAGTGGAAGACACCCCATGTGGTGTTTTCCCAGTGAAAGCTAGAGTTGTACCCTGGCCAGTTGCTCAGCTGCATTAGCCTTTGCACATTAACAGGTAGGATATTCTGAGGCCATTCTATCCCTCTTTGGAATAAACATTCTCTCTGAGGTTGAATGAGAACTTAAGCCACCCAGGAAAATATGAAAAGAGTGAGGTAAAGAAAGGTTCTATCCTTTGCCCTCTTAAATAAATTTTTTTTTAAACACAGGATATGAGTAAAATAAGGTCCAAGATTGATGAGAGGGAGATTCCAAGGAAGTGCAGGGTGGGGGGTGTTGCATTTGAGATTCTGGCACAAACTATGCAACCTTGCCTGTAGCTTTGGTATGTGCATGCAATTGTGGGTGGTGTGAATATCCCTCTAGGCTCCTGGGGCAGATGTCATGGCTAGTTATTTCCTGTAATCTCCAAGGGCCAGAAGGGCACATCCTCACTTTTATTTCACATTTATCCTTTTCTTTGAATATGTGCTTTGGACCTATTATGCATTAAAATAATCAAGTCTGGACTTGTGTCTTAGCCCTTCTAAATCCACTTGATCAAGTCAGAACAAATGATTTTTATGAGAAACCATCTCTGGCTTGAACTAACAGTTTTGCTAATTTTCAGTGTGGCCAGCTGCTTTCAGAGTTTTTCCAGTGAAAGTCAAGAGAGCACACTGGAGGCAGGTTCTCAGCAAGCTTTCAGGCCCACATTTGAGAATAGGATGTGTGGTGAACACACAAAGGGAGAATTTTTTAAGGTGATTATTAGGCCTTGGAGGTAGGAAATGAAATGACAATTTCTGAACACTGATAACAGATAAAGGAACTTTGACACAGCAGATACTGTCTCCCGAAGGCAGAGGACACAATCAACACTGGCTCTTTCCAATGGCTGGGCACTGCTGGTGTGGGGCTCTTAGAAGGTCAGCAGGGACTTAAGAGCTAAGATGGGGAACTCAACACACTTAGCGGGCATGTTGTATTTCATTTGAGCCTTAGAACTGTGGGAGAAGCTAGCTTGCTAGCTTGCTAACAGAACCCTGAGGATCCAAGAGTGCTCAACTATAGAGATTTTTCCATAATATCGAGTCAACGTCACTGGAGATGCCATCTCTCAGCATGTCCTAGTGACCTACTATTGCTGAATTTGCCACCATCCATCACTATCTACCTATAGGCCTTGACATGTAAAAAACCCTTGTAAAAATGTCATGACATTGTTTTAGAACTTCCCTTACTTCCAATTTATGTCTTAATCAATGTAAATTAACAAAACACAATTTTATTGTATGGTTATTAAGATACAACAACCAAGATAAATATCAGGGTTTTCAATTCCTTTGTTTAGATCTGGCCCAACACTTTTGCTAATTAATTATCTTTCTAGAAAGCTACAGCCTATCAGCACACAGATACTTGACATTTCCCAGCAAGATTCCTTTAATGTCTTTATTTCCTCGGCTTTGGACTGTTTTGTATTGCTGGTTAAATGCCATAATGTTGTCTGTGTGCTTTTTCTCTTTGCAGAATATAAAATTCTAATGAGATAATCCAGCTAACCAGATACAACAAGCACATGAAGTACTCCAGAATTTGTCAGCCTCTTTCTCAAAACCCAAATAGCTTTTCCTCTCAGGCCAGTCAGATTGCTTGATAGCTTTGCAGGTATCTAATGAGGTAGACAGGGTGAGGCAAAAGACATGAGGCAGAGTTAGGCCATTTGATTGAGTTCACTGTTTTTGATGCTTGATCTTCTTTCTGATTTTTCTTTTTTATTCCACATTTCTCACTTTTGGTGATCATCTGCTAGGGACCTCCAGCTTATATTTGAAAAGATGTTGGAATCTATAATGTTCAGGGATGGACAAGTAGCCTTGGATGTCTTTTGTGAATAGAT